CCCAGGTTCCAGTCTCCTTATGTCTTTTGAAATGGGATAAGTGAGCTATAAACGTGGTTTTCGGGGGTCAATTCAGAACTTTGTGTAAGCTGGATGATCCGAAACCCCTCGCCAGACTATGATCGATCTCGCTTTCAAATCGTGGCTGGCGTTGTGAGTAAGCTGTGGATTCAAACTTTTGGCACTTTTCGCTCTCAAAATAGGTGACTGTGTAGTCTGCACGTCTTGCCTCGTACACCCTTTGTGAATTCGTAACAGCTCGTCGCAAAAAACGAGTCGACATTTGCTATACGCCGGTGGTTTTTTTACACAGGAACGATTTCCGCTACATATAGGCGCAACCTCTTTTCCGTTTTGGAATCCAGAAGGTTTCCTCCTTTCCTCTTCTTTCGCTGGCCCATCTTTCGCTTTCTCTTGCTAGAATTTGGGCAGATATCGCAGGACTTTTTTCTCTGCCCTGCTGTTGTATACTCATCCTCACTGCGTGTGGTCCTCTCTCTGCTCCCGAAAAAAGCAGTGATCACGGGAACTCGCACCGTGGGTTCAGTACTACTGATTAAAAAAATCTGATAACTAAATCACTGGACGAAAATAGCTTCAACACATACAGTCAATGTGCAGTGAAATTTGGCACATTTGAGCTAAATTTGATGCTTTTTTGACTGAACATAACCGTTTAGTCCACCAAAGTTTCCAATCCAGACGGAGTATTTTAGCGCCGGTCGTTGGCAGGGTGAGGTGCGTCCCAACGGTGCAGTTCTTTGACAGGGATTTTGTTGGTGTTTTTCTGGTGCTGTTTAATTTGTGTTATGCAGGTGAGGCGCATCACTTTACAAAGTGGCAGTAGCGGGAGAAGGAGGGAGCAAAGTTGCAGTCAACAAAGACGCACCTCATTAACTGTTGTTAATAAATCATAGAACGAAGTGTTGTTGAGTTGTTGCAATCGTCGTTTGTTTGTGTCTCGCCTGGAGCCATCATTTGGCCAGTTTGATGGATATTTGTCATAGTGGACCCCAGTCACCTGCCCTGCGACTCGCATCACCCTCTCTTCAAGTTTGCTTTGGTTCGACTTCAAATGACAAGACGAAGCTTATGTTAAGCAGCTCAGAAATTCCACTTTGACACCATTCTGCAAAAAAAAAAAAACTTTCGTCATTCAGGTGCTATTGTAGGGAAATCCTGATACTAAACGGTTGGACGCCCTCGGCACATTTTCGTTGGCAAATGAGAGCGGTTGTTTTGCTTGGCGAGCTCCTGAAAAGCAGTAGAAGCGTCCGGTGGGTGCATCCATCCGGACTTTCTGGATTCCAATTTGGGAAAAAAAAAGCAGTTTTGGCCATTCCTGAGTTGTGTTAGAGGGCGGCGCGAAGTTATCAGTGATTTGAGCGAGTTTTGAGGTGCACTGAAGCACTAGGGAGTAAGGAAGTAGCTGACGGTGGCGGCGAGACTGAATGATTGAGCTCGAGCAACTGCTCCTGTTTACCGGGTGGTCGGTCGTTTCGGATGTATCGCTGTGCGCACCCTTCCGCTTGGCTTTTCATATAATCATCGTCAATCCACGCAACCGTAAGATGAGCAGATATGAGAGGTATCATTCCCGGACGCGCTTCTCGTCGTTTATATCGACAACAAACACTGATCACATAACCAAGCAATCACTCCTCACCCGCTCTCTGCCGCCCGCTTCATTCATTATCCTGTTAACTTTGTTGTTTTTCATCAGCTCCATCCCCTCACCCGTTTGCTGAGGTCAGTACACTATTTTAGCAGATATGTTTTTGTACGAGGTGTTATATCTTCATTGTTTCCGAGATCCCCACCTTTCTTCTCCCCTCCCCGCCTTTCTCTCCAGAAAAGAACGTTTGTCCCCAGGACATGCAAATGTTGCTCTCACCCATCCCAAAACAATCACTGTGCAAGGAAGGAAGTGAGAACAGCTTAATGATACGGTGAAAATTTGTGTGCATGCGTAAAGTCGAATTTTGCGCTTTTGTAGCGGATTCCCTGGGGAGTGAAGGAAGAGCTGAGCGCAAGTAACAGATGGTTGCCTTGATGGAAAGCGCGTACGTCGGCATGCTGTGATCACGCAGCTCTGTTGCAATGTGTACGAAAATACTAAATCTTATTTTTTGAAAAGCCTTTAAAATCATCAATAATGCTGCTTTTGCGTTCTCCAGGATGATATCGGTTTCAGAATGCGTTGCATATGTTTGCCGACATCCTAGTGTTCTTATAATTTGAGTCTGGACTGCCCATCCCGGCCTGCCTTCTCAGCTGCCGTCGCTTTCCATTCAACATTTATAATACTGCGGTAGCGCTCCATCTTACTCATTCTGTATGGAATGATAATTGGCGCAAGACATACTGTTGATAAAGCCGTTGATTATTTCTAACAGGATCATGATTTAGACTTCACACCTAAGTCTGCTTGCGAGTTGTTCACGTAAGACTCAGTTTTTTTTTTT